CCCCCCCCCCCCCTACACCCCCCCCCTCGGTGTTTGCCATCGGGATTGGGTTTTCGTCGCTTGGCAACGACGTTGTAAAACAAGCCAATTCACTTCGTGAACTCGGCAACCAGGTTACCGTTTTTGTTTTTACCCGCTGTTTTTTTTTTTGCGGTAACCATAATGGTGGTGGAGTAGATCATGTTGTGCGGGGTCGAGAACCTTCACTCCGCGCAACGGGGGATGATCGCACCACATTGTGTTAAAATGGTCAAGCATCCTCGAGGCAGTTACACAGTGCTTACAACTGTCTCTGGAAGTGAAAGCACCAGAAAATAAATTAAGTCATACGCAGCTGTCATCCGTACGCAAGGAAGTAAGCACAAGATGCCGAACACCCTTAGCAGGATGCAGCTCACCCTTCATGCGACTCGCCAAATACCTCACGGCGCTTCGCGCTTGGTGATGTGAGAGCCTGGTCCGGTGAGAACCCGGCGTGCTCCGTCCCGGCTTTGTAGGGATGCGAGGTCAATGGTCTAACGACTACGGCATGCACGACTATGAGTACACCCCCCCCCCCCTACCCCCCGTCCCCCCCGCCCTCTGAGGAACGGGCCGAATGCATGTGGGAGATGGCAAACAAGAGATGACCTTGTGGGAGGAACGGTAGAGACACCGATAGGTCATGCAGATACGCTCATGAGTCTATTTGCTACTCTTTTCTTCTCATGATTTCTCCAACCGAGGGAGATGGAACATGCCTTTGCTCTTGGAAGCAAGAAACCGAGACAAAACGAGACAAAAAAAGAGAGAAGAGAAAGAGACAGCACCTGAGAACAGCACGGGTGTGGCACATGTTCCACTATATTCTACCATGGTACGGCACTGCTATTGTGCGAAGCACGGTAAACAAACGCCGTTGACTTGCCTGCGGCAGCTGCTCTCGCCGTCCCATGCCCCCGTCAGCTCCCTCGCGAGCACGTGGCTCGCGGGGTTCACCTGCTGCAGCCGGAAGAGGCCGTCGGCGAACTTTCCCTGGATGGACGATCCGCTCTGCGAGAGGGCGCCTGAACCAACCACCCGCGGACAACAACAAAGACAACCAGGGGTGTAACGACTCACGTTAACCCCACAATCTAAGATCAGGCAGCAAGCGCAGCAGCAGCAGGCTGAGTTTGGCTACAAGCGGGGCTGCTTCAATGAATGTCTTTTGTTTTCATCAATGCAGCGTACAAGCACGCTTCGTGCATTAACTTGCAGGAAGTTTCCAGCATGTTGTATACGTCTATATTGCACGAACGAGAAGGCCGAGCCTCATCCTGCCGTACGTGGTTGCCGGGATACATTCAGCGGCAAGTTGGAGCGCCGATGGCTGTCGACATGCCCTTCAAAGCTGCCAGGCTGTCTGTTCCTCAGAGATAAGAGAGAGGGAACGATTAGAGGGTATTATAGTGCTCGTCATCATCCCGTATCCCCGTGATGCCAACCAGGATGGGGGTGGCAGGTTCCTGCGAACAGCCTAGATAGTGGTTTTACATTCATGAACGCATTTTTTGCGCTTGTGCTGATGGTGGGAAAGAGCCTCACGCTCGCTCTTCGCTTGCCAAACACCATGGGTCATCGACCTTGGGGGGTTTCCGGGAACGAAATGGTGGTGGTCTTTCGAAACGAAGCGGCCAGGAAACGTATGAATATGGTCGCTGTTGGGGTCACGGGCCTCACGCAAAATAACAAGAGCTCTGTTCGGCGATGATGCCTTCTGCGTCGCATGCATCCCTGCCTTGGGGGGGATGCGAGGAGAGTCGTGTGTTGTCTTGTCTGTACCGTCTGGCAGTGGTACATCATGTAGAACGATCTACCCTGCTTGAATGGAGGTATGTACGCTGGCAGACGTGCTCACTGATTCAGCGTCCGACTTTGAGCGGTTAGTAAGCTCCATCACGAGCTCAATGCGATTGTCCCTGACACTACGCACGACTCGTGCTTTTTCTTCGCGAATTCCGAAAATTTATCTTTTCCTCGGCCCGTGAGGGTTCGGCTGTCACCGACAAACCTTTCTTTCTGTTTGAGCAGGTTCCTTTCCCCACTCACTTGATAAAGACTAAGACACTCACTCGTAAAGACTAAGACACTCACTTGTACAGACTATTCTAAGACTTCAACCAACGCATCTCTTCGATCTTCGATCAGAGAAACAACTCGAACGAGTGATCTTACAGTGATGAATGCCACGTACATTTTCTGTGACTATTATTGTGGTGGTTGTTCCGTGCATTGTGCAGGTGTCAGTATAGGCTTGTGCTGGGCATCAAGTCTGTCCTTCACAAAGACCCCACCCACAACGGAACTAATACCATCTGACGACCTCGGCATAATAACAAGGAGAAGTGTCTGTCTACGGTATACAACACGTGCGTGTCGGAACCGTGAAGAAGGCAACGAGAAAAAAAAAACACACACACACACACACACAGACGACACACAGCGACAGCAGCAACATCAACATCAAACATCATCAACGACAAAACCAGAACACAAACAACAACTTCAACGACGACGGCGACGAACAACACCAACTGACAATCAATCAATTCCACTGAGCCGACTTCGTAGTTCCGGGCCCACCCCGACCCCGTCCAAACCAACACCACGGTCGTTTGGTGGGACATGTATTATTGTAGCATCAAGGGCGGAAAAACGACCGTACCTAGTGCGACATGAAGCGAGCGCCGAGAGCAGAATATTGGTTGAAGCTCAGTGGCGGAGACGACAGTAGTAGTAGTGTGTAAGAAGTATCAACATCAAACAAATCAAAGTTTTCACGAGCAAGGAGAGAGAGAGAGAGAGAGAGAGAGAGGGGGGGGGGGGAGCGGTCCACAGCCCACATGTTATCTCCAAAGAGAGAGCAGGAGAGAAATCAAATATGGACGACGTTTTGTGGAGCGAGGGTTCTTTTTCCTCTCTCTGTCCGAATGGTGTGTTGTTTCCCTCGTCGACGTTTGTGTTGTTAGCCAACAGGTGACGGATAAGCAGGAATCGCATTATTTTGTCTCGACTACTGCAGCATCCTCGTGATGATCATGTCGGGACGTTCTTTTCTGTTTTTTTTTTTTTTTGCTACATATCTTTTCTCGTCGGCCCAACCGTCACGCCCAATCGTCACCTGCCAAGCAGCAGTCGGTATCGAGTTTTTTGGCCCATCGACAGTCTGGCAAGGTATTGGCTATTGACTTGTTGTCCCGCCTTCCCCCTGCTGCAGTGGCGGAGAGCCTGCCTCAGATAGAGACGAGAAGCAGACGGTTTCACCAGGAGTCTATGTACATCCCATATGGTCCAATCTAGTATATTTGGCGTTCGTTGTGAAGAGTATGGTACAACTGCTGTTATATAATAGACCAAGTAGACTCATCGCCACGATTGAATTTAAAAATCGTTTCCCACCACAGGATTGCAGGAATGCAAATTGTTCGCTCCCGGGCGAACTCGCACAGCTGCTGCTCTTACAGTACAGGTTATTGTAGATGTTTTCCGAGGTTCAATGTTGAGGGTGTATAGTAGGCCGTCCATCCGTGGTGATTTATTGAGGTGAAAGAATTAGACTATAGAATAATCTATCCCAGATTATTTTTTTCTGTGGAGGAGATATAATCTAGACGATGTCGATGGATTTCCTTGCGACGAAAAAGAAAGAACTGGCACGTGGAATAATGAATATTTCAGCACTTGCAGTAGTAGTCTAGATATATATGCTTCGATCGATTTACTGGGCCAGGGAGAGGCCTACTTGAGCCACAGGTAGGTGTGTGTACCACCAACCAATCCATAGCAATAATACCGTTCAGCGTGGCATGCATCTCGCCCTTCTTTTCATTTCAAAACGCGACAAGAAGAGACCCAACCCGCCTCCATATAAAAAAAATGCACCAACACTCTCACGTCACGTGCTATGTGTGATCGTTGCGTGGTTGATGCCTCGCATGCCAGACGATTTTACACTAGCTTACAGGGCAACGGAGAAAGAGAGTTGTCGGAACGAGATCCTCCCGGCCATGGACAAACAGGCCAATCAATGTCGTCAGTCGTCGGTCTCTCCATCTATCTGCCTGCCTGCCGCGCACCCTCCCCGAACCTCCGCCCCTGTGTCGGTTGCTGCTACAGCAGTATACCGGAGTCAACAACACAGGAGGCCTACAGCAGTAGTACTGAAGTATGGTACATTACATCGTGCCCGCTGCTGTGTCTGTCCTCTTTTACGGCTTCGGTGGATCGGTCGGTGTTCGCTGCATCTACCTATCCTACGCATATCCGCTCCCAGCTCCTGACCAGTCCGCCGGGCGAACGACTCCAAGATTTCAAGATTTCTTGAATTTTTTCGATTTCCGATCTCATTTTCTTTCAACCACAAAGAGGCAGATTTTTTCGGATGCATTTCCACGCAAGCAAAGCGAGATTTTACATCATCACTGGATATAGACTGCTTCACACACACACACCTTCGATTTGGGCAACAGGGGATGAGCTATTATTAGAGCGTGTGCGTGCCCTGTCTGTGCACATCGACAGAGAGCCGCTAGAGAGCACAAGGAAGGGGTGGGTCGGTCTGGATACATTCCATGCGCGAGCAATGGTGCAATGGTATTATTCCTGATTCGGAAGCCAAGATCCGCACAACACACGGACGACTGGCTTTGTTTGGATCCGCCACCAAAGCCTTCATTTATTTCTGCTGCTTGCTGTGGTTGTTGTTGATTGATGATGATGAAAAAATTGTCCGCAAAAAGCCGAGCAAAAGTCAATCGAGCGGTGTGTTGTGATGAGCCGGGCGTTCGCCAACAGCAAGTAGCGCTGCTGGCTGTGTCTGTCGCGAGAACCAGCTACACGATGTGTGAGAGGACTAACAACAATAATAATAATGTCAGAAGCAAGGGCAGCAGCACAGCAGCAGCAGCAGGCACCAGAAACAATAAAGCGACGGGGCGGAAATAATGTTGTAGCAACCAGCCAGATCGGCTGAGACCCTCGATCCGATGATGGTGATTCATGGCACGAAAGGATACGGTTTGCCTTGGTGATGTTATTGCTGTCGACTGCGCTGCTGAATACCTTCGTATTGCACGACGTTGCTGTACTCCCCCAGGTGCCTCTTGATCAGGGTGATCCTAAACAGCTGCTGGTCGGCGCCGCCCCCGCCGCCGCCAGGCTCCACGAACCCTCTGAGCGCGAAGTGGATCTGCCTCCCTCTCCAGTGCGAGATCCCTTTCCCGCAGAGCCTGAAGATCGCGGATCCTGGCTCCTCCCTGCCCCATGCCGGAGCCTCGCCTCTGGGGGTCAACCGTCCCACGCCGCCCTTCCTGATGTCGGTGAAAACCAGAGAGGTCTCCGTCCACCGCGTCTCGTCGACCCCCTCGCAGCCCTGCCTGTAGCTCAGCCCTTCCCACACGCCGCTCGAGAGCGCGGGCTCGAACGCATTGGCACGGTGGTGGCTCGACATGCTAGCACTGCTACTGCTCTGTCGGTCTGATGTAGTCGTTCGTTGCACATGGCACGGCGGATCATACACAGGATCCGGCTTTTGCGGCTTTGCTCGGGGGGTTCCGGGAATCATTGCATACCCCCCCCCCCGCGCACTTTGTATTTTTTTCGATTGCGGGTCAACAGCATGTTATGTTTTGTTTGTTTTCCTCCTTCAAAACCAACAGGGTACTGCTGGTGCTTCAGGAACGCATGGCAAGGACGAGCTCGAGAGCAGGCCCTTCCCCGTGGCACCTGCAAGCAAAAGGCGAAGGTGCGCGAGCAGCAACTTTTGGTGGATCGCAAAGAGGGTGCAGACTTCTGTGCAGCAGTATGGAGACGGTGGTTGATTGAGCCGTTGCGAGCAAGGTGCGCACGCAGAGAAACGCGTGGCAGCACAGTACAAGTGACTACCATTAATATAATAGATTGGAGATGACGACAAGTTGGACGGTATTGTTCATCACATAATAGGCCTGGAGTCCGCAATCAGCACCAGACTGATTTCGATCCTTCCTCTGCTTTGCATACCAGTTCTTTGGCTCTTTCGAGAGCAAGCGGCTGCGGCACGACAAGTCCCCGCAACCCTGTCGCCCCGTCTGTCTGCGCCACAGGGTTGCTAAAATTGAACACTCAGAACGAGAGACGCCCCCGGTGGTCTCAGGTTGCGCCTCGTTCATCCATCTCGCTCTGGTCCGCCGCTTGTCTTTTGGTGCAACACAGAATTTGCTGCTGTTGCATGGTACTTACATACGCTGCTGTTGTAGTGTAGTTTTGTGTTTACTATACGGTACTGCTGCTGCGTCTTTCGCGTGAAATATGGCCGTGTTCTGTCCGTGTGCGCGATGAGACAACGAACGGTTTGATTCCTTGTTGTGTGCTATGTATGCGGTGTGTACTTGAAAAGTCTTTGGAATGGTCTTCGGGGAAAGAATGGTTGAGACGTTGAGACCGACAGGTAGTAAACGTCCATTTATTTGTTTGGCCAAAGGTCATTTTTGTATTCTAAAATGAGCATTGATTGCCACCGTCGTGCATTGGTAGTATACATAATATCCACATATCATATGCGTATGTGCGATTCGTACCACATCAGGAACAGAGTGTGCCATGCTAACATGTAACACACATACGAATCGTACGATGTGACATCAGTCGTTTAACAGACATCAGTCGTTTAGCATCAGTACACACCTGGTACATATTCAGTGTAGGCAACAGAGCGTAGGATGCGGTCCGGGAAGCACAGCTTGTGATACTTGACCTTTTATTTATGTGTACCACTACATGTGCATGCGTATACTTCTGACCCAACGGTCAAGTCATGAGACAATTTATGGCATCATCATCGCCCTCACGGCGATACCTTATAATTGGACGGTTAGCCTACAAACCCGACCACTACTGCTGTGAAACCATTCCCTCCACTCGCGATCTTTTGTCCCGATCGCATGTGCCCACCGTTTTCTTCTGTCTCCCTGCGCCGTCCGTGCCCTCTAATTTTACCTCTTTTCCCAAAACAAATCTCCTGAACGAACTTGAAGCAACGCGCGACGAGGAGAAGGGCGCCTCCGCGGCGACCGCGGTCGCCGCCGCTGCCGCCGCTGCTTTGCGTGCCGATCCTTTCGTGGGCGTCGGGGCGGACGATGGTGGTGTGGAAACGGACCGGAGGCGCTTGGCAGAAGGGTCGGGGGGGGGGAAGCGAAAGGTGCGCGGATTTGTTTTTTTTCCGTTGTGCTCTGTGTTGGTTGGTGCCGGGTCATGTGCGTGTCGTTGCGTCGACAGCGCCAACCGGCTGAGCAACGAAAAGAGTTCAGTCTTATCGTGGGATAAAAAACGCCACCACGCGTGTAGTAAAGGGTTCTACCGACTAGAAGAGGCTTTCTACAGAGTGAAGGGTTCTACGCGACAGCGGGGGCGCAGGTGTTGGGGCGACAGAGTACGTGTGTGCGGGCGCGGGTGCGAGTGCGGGTGGCTTTCATGAGCATTTTGACGAAGCGTGTTGATTGCAAGCTGTTGATACTCCAGGACAAAACCATGAAGCTGTGGGTTGCCCCGCGATGCGTGAGACACATATATGTCATGCATGTACGTGGACAACGGTTATTGGAAATTCAACGCGTTACTCAGCCGTCCGTACCCTCCCGTGCCTGAAACATGCCCCCCCCCCCCCCCCCCCCCCCCTTTCAAAAAAACAATTACCATCCTTTATCATTCCTTAAAAAAAAATCCTCCCACCCCTCCAACAACCATTTTCAATAATCTAAACCCCAACAAATACAAAACAAAAAAAAAACCCCCCCCCCCCC